GCTCCCTTTCAACACTTCAGAAGTCTAGGGTTTTAAGATATTAATTCCTAATTTCATTTCATTTTCAAGAAATTGGGCCGACTTTTTACTCTTTAGGAAAGTTGATTTTTGAAAATTTTGAATTTTTATGGAAAATTGCTGTGGGGATCGAGAATAAAGGAAAAAAACTGTAACTTTTTCTTAGTAATATAACGTTCTTTAAATTGCACATTGTTCATATTTATTTATTTTTGCTTAAACATAATTGTTAAATTTTGTTGTATGGTTATGCAGTTTTAGTGAGATAATGGCGTTGTCTTCTGGTTTTTGGTTTGTTTATGTTGCATGTTCTGATTTTTCTTTTGAAATTTTTTGTTTTGAGATTTTTAATTAAATCTGCTCTGTGTTCTTGCTTAGANTATGAGGCCCCCTCTACTTTTGGGCCTGAGGCGATGGCCTCACTTGCCTCGGCCCAAAACCGGCCCTGGATGTGTAGAAACCCATCTAAATGTGAATATTAATGGATTTCAGCACATCAAAGGAATAAAATTTTCTTTTTCATGATTTTTAAATTTGTTAATGAAATAAAGTAGGAAAGCTTGTACATGAATGGTTAAATTGAAGAAGTATTCACCATGGAGTGTGTAAATTCACGACTTTAAAGTCATGATTGAAAGTCATAACTGAGCCTTTCCTGGAATGCAATCTCTTGGTGGGCTCTTATCGAAAATCTTACTATTTCTGTCTGTTCAACTTGCACTATGTATAAAAAGAAAAGCACATAAAATGTTTATTATAGTGACAATTACAACATGACAAGAGTAATCATAAAAATGTACGTTATTTCCAAAACGTAAGATGTTTCTTGATCATCCAATGTATTTAATCTTGTTTCTGATTGAATGAGTTGTGAATCCTCTTGAAAGTGAAAGACAACCTGCTAAGAATCATAAAAGACACGGCTTTCGACATTATGAGATAATGTTTCAAGAAAGTAGGACTTGATTTTTGAGAGCGAGGCATTTGCCTAAGTCTGCAAATAGTAATGTAGATAATCCCAAATCTTAGAACATAATAATTTTCACAAATTAATTAATAACAAAGAAACATACATATGCTTGTTCAATTTTTAGAAATGGAGTAATTGCAATGTCGTTATAGAAGACACTGGTTTCTCTATGTTACCACTCTAGATTGTGTAATATAATGATGGTTTTGTATGTTTCTTGAATGGTTGGAGGGTTTATAGAACTTGAGTATGTATTTCCGTTAGACACATCCATCAACCTAGCAAGAGTTCATTTATGATATATTCACTAATTACAATATAAGTAAAATTTCATTAACTTCATTAAAGCATTTGTTTACCACATTTTCAAACTCTTGTTTGACTCGTGATATTCCTTAATATGCTTTATTTTGCATTAGTGAATTTTTTCTCTTAATTGGTCAAAATGTTATCATTGTGAAACTACAAGTTAATAAGAGTGATGGGGTTCATACATTATTAGTTCAACATAGTTCCTTCCATGTGCATTAGTTTCTAACTTCAAATTATTTATGAACAAAGAGCATTCGTTATGGTCTATTTGTAATGTCTTTTAGACCATTCTTGCTATCATTCATTCTGTATACTTTGAAGAAAAGAAGAAACATAAAAGTGAGTATAGAGCATCAATTAATTACGTAATATAGATTCTCTGTAGTTAAATTCAGGACCCATTCTTTCAATATTCATTAAAGCTCTTTAGCCCATTATGTTAATAGGTCTGCAATCTTAAGTTTAGTGCTTGTATTTCAATTGATATTTTTTTTCTTGAGCTTAATTTTTAGCAGAAAAGTTTTTCAATTATGCCCTCGTTTGGATGGGATTAAAATCAAATTTTAATAGATTTTGGTAAAAGTTGGTGAAATGTGTGGGTGAAAAGCTGTGTGTCCCTTGAAATGTATAGTTAAAATGAATTATTGATTTTGATTTAGATTAAAATCTTGATTTTAACTCCCAACAAATAGGGTTTATATGTGTTTTGCACCCTTATAATATTTTTTTTATTCAAAAAAGAAAAATTGTGCAAAATTGTTGTAATAAATTTTCAGTGGCTTGGTAAAAGTGAAACCTCAAATCTTGAAATAAAATTCCGCAATTGTAAAATATTCTTGTTTGGATATACCAGCCTTGAAATATTATTTGAACGCTAATCTTCCTTTAGAAACTGTATTTTGCTGTCAATATGTGCCCTAGTTGTGTAATGTGAATGTCTCATTGTCTACAGCCTGTTCTTGGTCCTCAGTATAGGAAAGGGAGAAAGTTTTTAACTTCTATCCTAGTGGATTAAACATGCTGATATGCTTGATAGACGCAGTTACGATACGATGGTTTTCCGTTAATTAATCACAATATTTCTGAGCAAAGCCAATTGATAAATTTCCATTTTTGACCTTCAAAAGGCCAAATGAAAAGCTGTAGTTGCTGTTCACAATGCAGACACACACACACACACACAAAGTTAATAGTTTTCCCTTTCACTTGTCATAAGGTGTCCTCCTGTTCATGGTATTGACACCATACTTTCGTGGCATAAAGCAATGACTGATGAGCATATTGAAGCTCAAAATAACGTAAGGATGGGAAAAAAAAGTCTAGTATGTACAGATGGAAATAGAAGATGAGATAGTAGTTCAAGGAATTTACTTGGAAGAGATTGATTCCTTACCTTACGTGGGTTTTTGGCTATGATGCTTGGACTTGGGTACGGGTACATATCTAACTGTCGGATCTTTTATTTTTAAAAAAATATAGGATACGAAGATATGGCTAAATAGAGTCCAAATTTCGAATACAAGTACATGGTTACGTCTTTCAAATTTCAATTTTTTTTTTAACCCAAGATGTTATTTATAGATCAAAATCAATTGTTCACAAAGAAGGAAATGAGTATTGAATAAGGGGTCAAAACGAATAAAATAGAATTTTGGGGTTTGATTTTCAATTATAGGAAGTAAATTACTAAATATTATATAAAATAGAATATGAGGGATTTGATTGCAATTTGGATTTAGTAGAATACTAAGTAGCACTATATGGAACACATTTTCATTTTATACAAAGAAAATCCTAAACTATCGATACAGAGATGGAAAGAAGGGAAAAAAGGAAAAAAGGGAAAGAAAAAAGAAAGAAGAAAAGGAAGGGATAACCTAATGTTGCCGCCTTCCTCCCCCCTCTTGAAGGCGGCGCTAGGTTTACAAAGAACAGAAACGAGAAAGAAGAAAAGGGAAAGAAAAGAGAAAGTAATAAAAAAGAAAGCAGAAGAAGAAAGAAGAAAAAGAAATAAGAAAAAATGGTGAAGCGTCCGATTGAAACCTGGAGGATCCGACACATATTTCATATTCATACCCGTGTCCCGTCGCGTCGCGTCGTGTCGTGTCGTGTCGTGTCGTGCCGATACCAGTACTTCGTCTGTACAAAGAGTCCGGGTATTAGAGGTTTTTGGTGCCTTCAATTTGAGTATTTATGTGTCATAATAGAACAAAGTATCTTATTATTTCATACTTGATAATGCTAATAAATTTTTGGTCTGGAGGATGATAGTAATGGTAAATTTCCATTGTTGGTTCAATTCCTAAACAAAATATATGACCTAACAAATAGCAAGAAAAGGATATAATTGACTAGATTAAACTATAACATGATTAAAGGGAGTGAAACTTTACAGTTGAAATCTGTAATTGACTAGACACATACCATAACATGATTGAGGTGGGATCAAAAAGTTAAATACTAAAACATCTGTACTTGTGCAGCTTTCTATGATTAGGGAATCTCATCAGAATACGCAGAATTTTGTAATGAAGAGCACGATAGGAGTTATGCTCAAAAAGAAAAAAATTTGGTTCAATGAAAATAACCCTGCAATTTATGGAAGTTGAACAGAATCGCCTAGTAACCTGATTATTATTATTATTTAAATTCACTTCTACTTGGACACACTTGACATCATGTTTAGTTAGAGCGATCAAGATTCTGTGACCAGAGTCCAGCTTTTTATGGAATTGAGCAGAATGAACCTATATACCTGATTTTGTTTTTTATTCACTTCCACTTGGTCATACACTTGAAATCATGTTTAGTAGAGTTATCAAGATTCAGCAAATCAGAGTCTTCTTCTGAACTACTTTTGTGATCACATTCTCCCCCTTACTGTTTTCTTCCCCCACCACCCACCTTGTCTCCGAGTGAGTGCACATTTTTCTTTTCTCGCGTTTCTTTAGGTCTTTGGCTTACTGTGTGCATATTTGGTTAAACAATGAAAATACTGAACACCATGGTTTATAAATTGGGAAATGACTTACTGGCAAAGAGTTTAGATGAAAACCTTTGTGGTAGCCTATACAAAATGATTTATCCATCTACTGTATAGATGTATCTTATCATCATATGCAAGCTGTGAAAGCTCGATTATCTGATGGAACATGAATTTACTTCTTTGATTTCCTGGTATCATAAAGATTTCTATATGTTGATGGAGTGTCCTTATTTGTTTCTCTTTTGAGGTTTTTGTGCCTTGGGTCGGTCTATATGCCTATGGGTGGGCTGCCCGATAGTTCTCTCATTATCCAACTGCCATCTAAACATCTTTGCATCGCAGCTATAGAAGCTTCAATTTGGTAATAACTATTGTTGTGCTGCACTTTTCATTTTATTTTGCTTATATTAAGCCTAAGAAAGCATATCCTTGCTTGCTGTTTTTTGCTTAATAATGGTTGTTTCAATTTTTTTTCCCTTTTGCAACGAAGAAGTATACTTGGAAATGAATGAACTTGGAAAGTAATTCCTATGAAAATATCTTCGCATTTGTCTGCAGAGTGCAACTATGTGGAGGAACTATCTGGATACATGGTTGACTTGGCGGAAAGAGCATAGTTATATGGTTTGAGTGGGAAGAGAATTTGCAGTGCTTTTGATACTACTCTTGAGGAATTTGACCAGTAGACTTTCCTATTACTACTTCACATTGAGGATGGAGTGCAATAAAGATGAGGCCTCCCGAGCCAAAAGGATTGCAGAGGAGAAGATGGAGAACAATGACTTTGAAGGGGCAAGAAAGATTGCTTTGAAAGCGCAAAATCTGTACCCCGAACTTGAGAATATAACACAGATGCTGGCCATATGTGATGTTCACTGTGCAGCTAAAAATAGGATTTTAGGATCCGAAAAGGACTGGTACGGAATCCTTGGGGTTGAAAAGTTGGCTGATGAATTGACCATCAAGAAACAATACCGACGACTTGCACTTGTTCTCCATCCTGATAAGAACAGATTTCCTGGTGCAGAAGCTGCTTTTAAGCTGGTTGGGGAAGCAAATTTAGTGCTTACGGACCCAGCAAAGAGGTCTTCATTTGACAGTAAGATTAGAGTTTCAGTTAGTTCAGCTCCATCAAATCAAACCCCTCGTCACATGAACACAAATTCTTCTTTTAAGAAACAATATGGATTCCAAAACAAATTTCCAAACTATTTTGCTGATAAATTCAGTGGTCTGAATCATCATCAAGCAACAGGATTTAATTCAACAGTTGGACAGGGAATGTTCTGGACTTGTTGCCCGTTTTGCATTATTAAATTCCCTTGCCAGAAAGAAAATGGGAACAAATCTTTGCAGTGCCCTTACTGCTTAAAAACCTTTATTGCTTATGATATAGGTTCTCAAGGTGTTTCCATAGGATCCAAATGCAGTCAACCCAGTGCTCCAGATGTGTTTCCGAAAGTAGGGATACCAAATCAAGCCCCCCCGAAAATGGGTGTGCAAAATAACATTAGATTCCCAGCTCCTGGTGCAGGATCTCAGGGGAGTGCTAGTGGTAAAACAAAAGAAAAGGCCCGGAATTTCTATTCAATGAGTGGTGGAAACGAAAGGGGTGGAATGCCCAATGGTGATGCAATGACTAGAGAATCAGGTGATCAGAAAAACAAAAATAGGAAGAGGGGTAGGAAGAGGGTAGTGGAATCTAGCGAGAGTTATGATACATCAAGTAGTGACGACATAGAAGATGTGGCCGTTGAGGAAAATTTTGGAGATCCTGCTAACATGGGAGATTCTGGACTTAATAGTAACCACTCTGTACGAAGATCAACTCGGCAAAGGCAGCACATCTCATACAATGAAATTGATGATGACAATGACTACAATGACACTGCCATCCATCCAAAGAGATCATGTAGTGATAGCAAAGAAGAGCAAGAGGATTCTCTAGATACTGAAGATTTGAAGGGTGGTAATGCAAATAACTTTCATACTGATGCAGATAATGCAAGAACTGAAGAAATAGATGATTCTCAAACAGATTTAGATGAAAAAATATATGAGTGTCCTGATCCAGAATTTAATGATTTTGACAAGGGCAGAGAGGAAAGTTGTTTTGCAGTTGATCAAATGTGGGCTTGTTTTGATACATTAGATGGCATGCCAAGATTCTATGCTCTGGTCAGGAAGGTAGAGAGTCCTGGATTTAAATTGCAAATTACCTGGTTAGAAGCTGATCCGGAAGACGAAGATGAGAAGAATTGGGTTAGAAAGGAGTTACCTGTCAGTTGTGGCAGATTCAAGCGTGAGATGACTCAATATACTTCAGATCGTTTTACATTCTCTCATCAAGTGCTTTATGAGAAGGGTAAGAAGAGAGGTTCTTTAGTCATATATCCTAGGAAAGGGGAGACTTGGGCTCTTTTCAGGGACTGGGATATAAGATGGAGTTGTAACCGAAAGAATCCTAAATGTTTCAAATATGAAATTGTGGAGGTTCTCTCTGATTTTGTTGCAGGTGACGGTGTGAAGGTTGCTTACTTGGATAAAGTGAAAGGATTTGTGAGCCTATTTCAGCGAATGTGCAAGAGTGAGGCTGATTCATTTTTTATACAGCCCAATGAACTGTTTAGGTTCTCTCATCGAATTCCTTGTTTTAGAATGACTGGTGCTGAAAGAAGCGGAGTTCCAGAGGATTCTTTTGAACTTGATCCCAATTGCATACCTCTCAATCCTGATGATTTGTGGTACCCTGATAAGGGAAATGCATTCAAGGAAAACATGGATGCTGAAGTCGGCCCAAAGTAATTTGGCACCTGAGAGTATGAGCAAGCTGAAGAAGTTGTGGACTACAGACAATTGTTGAGAAGATGTCTAAACAGAAAATACCTTCCATTTTGTAGTATATTTATTAAATATGAAGGAAAACATGACAGTGTCTCCAGTCCATGGCAAAGGAATTGCTAAATGCTACTTTACGCAGCCACAGTTTCAGGGAGAATATATGGAAAAGATGAAGTTGAGGAACTAGAATCCTTCTGAAATTAAACTGTTGTTACTAGAAATTATTCTAGTTTGACATGGTATTTTAACATGTTGCCTCAACAGTTACCTCCTTTTGTAACTGCAACTGTTTTATTCTAGATAGAGGATGAACCCCGTGTTTTTGCCTTGTAGCGGACCTCCAGTTAGGTTTATTTCTTTGATGATGTAAAGATCTATTAGACATGCTAATCGTGGAGGGTTCTGTATGTAACTTGAAACGACCTTTTCTTTTTCTTCTGCTATGATCTCCTTGATGATATATGGTGCAGGAAGGCGGTAATTTATGAGTTAATGGGACAGTAAATGTGAATTTTCACTTTTGATGCATTTTTTGTTTGTACGTGACATGAATAAAAGGAGAAAGAACGCAGGCTGAAAACTTAAAAGCAATTGCTAGTTTCTACCTATACAATCTTCAAGATCAGCCATGTGTTTGAATGATATTATTCGTTCAGTAAAAATCATCACAGGTCTATAGGATAGTGAGGTTTTTGATTCATTGGTCAATGGAGTTATGACGTACTTTAATGTATTGGAAAATAAATTAAGAGATTTATTATAACCGATATATATTAATGATGAATATTATTGCCCTGTGTTTTTTGGATGGTTGTTATTTTATTGCTAGAAAAAGTGGATAAGTATTCGAATATTAACTTCAACAATCATTGGGGTGTGCATTTTGTCAAGTTAAACTAGTGGCGGAGTTATGGGAGGGGGGTGGCGTGCAACATTTGAAATTATCTTAAATTTATGTATAAATTTTTCAAGTTTTTTAACATATGCAAATTTCATTGCTTCATCCGAAAGTTATTGTTGGATTACCCTCATTTTAAGCATGTTCCTACATTATTTACGCATTCCATTGAAATGCTACAACATTGACTAGAACATGGGACCTCTAGTTCTGATATCAACTTGATGTAGGTTATTGTCACCATTTTGTTCACATTCATGGCACAATTGCAATTCACCATATATCACCATTTGGGAATTCATCCAAAGCCTAGTCTATGAAGCAGTGGTGGAGTGGACATAGACATTTTGAGTTAGATGTCACAATCAAATTTTTAAATCGAACAAGTTGATAAAGAAAAAATATAGTTTCTTCTTAGCCATGATCTTTACAAAGAATGATAAACTTTTAAGATAAAAATGCAATCATAGTATAACAATTATTAACTTTGTCCGTTCTAGATTAGATATTTACTAAATTGCTTATAACAATTATAAGAAAAAATGGTATCTGAATTTGTTATGCGACTTATGCCGTGTATTGGGGAAAAAAACACTGCAAAATGTCAAGACATTAATATCTAATCAAGCAAAATGATCTTTCTAAACTTAGCTTCATTTTTTAGGTGCATGATCGAGGTAAAACATTCAAAGATCCATGCACCCACAATCAGAGAAGGATTAAACTTCTAAATTGTAGTACGTTTATATGTTGACTTGTTCTTGGATTCGATTGATTGAGACATAAAAGATTAAAAAAAGAACTATGGGCATTAGATTTTCAGTAGATGAACAGATGATGAGTTGTTGAATGTAACAAATGAGACATAA